GCAACTCGAACCATAGCAGCTCTATGGCGTCATGAGAGAAGGGCTGGTTAGCTATTGTGATACCTCTCGATTCTAAATCCAAGAGTGATCAAGTCCGAGCACAGATCCGAGGGATACCAAACAATTAATATTTAAACAAGCATGATTATAAGAAGAATTTAATGAATACATAAATAAGTTGAAATAATTCTAAAATAAAAATCCTTAAAAGTTATATAATCCAAAACTGCCAAAACCTTCAATATTATTACAATTCGGGAATCCATCTAGTGGACCCCTAATAATATTCTGGCTGAAAAATAAATAACTGAACTAAAGGAAACCAAAACTAAACATAAATAGTAGGCCTACGTAGTCGGAAGAATGAGTGACCATTTCTGCTCAGCACGAACAAGCTTTAAGACTGGAACCGTTCGATACCTGAAAAATAATAGTGGGCCAAGCCCACAAACAAGTTCTACTCTAACTACAATCCAAACAGAGACCCGATACGCAGATACATCCTAGATAACTCATCAATACAAGGCAGTCTCAATTTGATTAGTAGGCAACATACAAAACGCACCTGAAGTGGGCATGAATACTTAGACTTAACAAGGTACACCTCTACCATCATAGCCAGCTATGCATCCCAATGCATATACGCTCCCTAACCATCGATCCTGAAACTCAAGCTCATATCGTGGCACCATAAATATATATTTATAATCCATCCACAACCAAAGTAGTGCCGCTCAACTATTCGTTGCCTTGAGACGATATATAAGTAGGATGTAACATTATTGTTAATCCATCCCTTATTCCAGAGTAGGTAGGATTTAGTATTTTGAACTAATCCATCCCTAATATGCCACCGTCCCATACCGGTGCATACAATCCACAGAATCCATGTACCTGACAGAACAGAATTAAATAGTTCAGCAATTAAAATCCAAAATAAACATAATAAAAATCTGATATGTATATGATTTTATTATGCATCCAATACAAGATTTAAAAATCATGTCACAGTCCGTTAAATTGCTAAAATAAGATTAAGCAATTAAATCTTCATTATCCATTAACAGCATGCAAACTTGTTTAAACTTTCATACTGTTCAAAACATTAGCATAACAGCACACACTAATAAATCATGTGATTTTAACATGTTCATTTAAATCATTTAAACCCCCCCCCCCCCTAAACAATAATCCAGAATCACCCTTAAGCCCCGAAGTTCCAAAAATCATCAAAATACACCCTTAGGTGTACAACCAGTGAGAGAACCGCCTCCCCTAAGGAGGGAGCCGGCTCTCCCATATGGAGAGCTGGCTCTCTCTCTTAGGGATCCGGCTCCCTCCCTTTAGGGAGCTGGCTCTCTCTCTCACCAAGAGCCGCAGGCTGAAAAATAAAGGGAGTCGGCTCCTTCCCTTTGAGAGCCGGCTCTACCCTTGCTTCCTATCATCTTCCTCGCCTCCGACGACGGTAATAATCCTCTGTAATGTTTTCTTTAGGTTCCCAGAGGTCCGTCTATGTCCCAAAACTATCCTAAAAACTTTTAAAACATAATATGCATTATTAATAACAATTAAAGTACATAATACGAAACAATTGATACAATAATTCAATTTCAATTAACAATTTGTAATAATGGTTTAAACTCTGAATCACATGCATACTTAATCAATTTTAATGTTCGCTTAGTTCCTGGAGACTATCTAGGCATGCACAGAATACAAGTTTAAAGGAAAAAGCAAGAAATAGAACTTGCCTTTGATTTTAGTTTTAAAACCTTTCCCTTTCTTCACTGATAACTCCGACGACCTTGGTTGCTTTCACAAACCCTCCCATTGCTCCCGGTTCAACCCACGAGCAAACTTTAACCACCCCTCCTTGGTTTAGCCCTTGTTCCTAGCCAAACCCTAATTATTCCTCTCTGTTTTCCTATCAAACCTCTCTGTATATCTCGCCGCCTCCACTATTACGTGAATAGGGTTATCAAACCCTTGACAGACATACAATATATATATATATATATAGGCGTATAAAACCTAATTCTAATTATACTTAGAGAAGGAAAAGAAAATAAACATATCACTAAGTCGGCTAACACGTGATTCCATAAAAACATAAAACCCTAATAGTATATTATACATTATATAATGAATAATAATAATACTAATTTAATTATTAATAATTATCAATAATTAACCTAACCCTATATAAATATATACCCATATATACATGTATATACATATATGTGTAAAACTGTACCCATTTAATCCCCTATCCAAGCCCAGCTCTGTTTAAAAAAATAAAAATACTACATTTAATTCAATTAATGTCAACTAAACACTTAACACATAAAACAGATAGCACATAACATTTAATCGCATTATTCAATTCATCAATTTATTCAAATAAAGCATACAATTTAAATTAATAAACAATTAAAACAAATAATTCAATTAGTCACTTAAACAATTAAACAATTATACAAATATTCAAATAATAAATTTAGAAATTCACTAAAACCATAAAAATAAATACCAAGACTATCCTTTTAAAATTAGGGATATTACAGCTATCCCTGACCACATAGCATCTCCAATGCGTCGTTTCGGGCCTAGGTAGCTCCACCACGCTAGGGTCTCTCCCTAATTTCCTTTAGATCACATTAATACTACGGACCACTGGACAACTCCTAGGCGCCCGGGTTTTCGCGAACCACTTTTCAAAACATTTTCCCAAAATGATTTTTTATTTTTTTTCAAAACAAATTTTCCTTTTTCTTGCCCAATGTAATGCATGAATGCTTCATGCTTTCAATATCATGCCAATAATAATATTTTTTTATACACTTCATTCAAATTCAACAACATTGCATGCTTATAAGAAACTCACAAGAAAATATATCTAGGGGTGCACACGGTTCGATTCCTTACTGTTCCGGTCGAAACCGGAACCGGAATTGTTCACAACGATTCCTAAAAAATGGAACTGGAACCAGAACCGTATAGAGTAGAACCGAACCGGAACCGTTAACCATGATTTGATAGACAGCAGTTGTCGGCTGAAGCTTGCGAACCCAAACTAGAACAACAGGCAATGGAAACTGAAAGATATGGGTTTTGATTTTTTGAACAATCTGAAATGATATGCCGATATGGGTTTTGAACTTTTGATTATTGCAGACAGATCTGAAATATATGGGTTTTGAACTTCTGATTCTTATAGCTTTTGTAGTTTACAGTTGCAGAGAGAGAGAGGGCAAGTTTAACAGTTGCAGAGAGATAAAGGGGCAAGCTTAAGAGTTCTTGCAAACAGATCTAAATATATCATGTCTTGATATAATAAAAATTCAGCATTTTAAACATACAAGACAAATAATAATTTTAATTTAGCATGCTTCATCACATTTGGACAACTAACAAATAGGGATTTACTTTGTAATTAACAAAAAATAGAAATTATATGTATACAACATAAGACCCAAAGAATTTCAACACAACCAAGGCATATTTATATAACAATTTTGAGAAAATAACTCACAAATCTCAAAGAAATGGGTATTAAAACACCCTTACCTCACAAATAAAGAAAAGCCCCAAATTTTTCAAATTTTCAAAATTCCCAAAGTGCTCCAAATGGAACTTTACTCCGATCAAAATGAAGCTCTCATTGTGCTCGTTGATTTTGCCTTCAGCGGCAAAGTCGAATTCCCAACAGAATGGTGTAGATCTAAGCTTTTATGTGAAAAAAAAAAAAAAAAAAAAAAAAAAAAAAAAAAAAAAAACCTGCGCGAGACAGAAAGTGATTCTGCCAAAAACTGATGAATGATGATATATATACATATACATATATATATATATATATATATATATATATATATATATATATATAAAGACAAAAGCAATATTTTTAATTGGGTGGGCCCCACATGTTATAAGCTTATTATATATATATATGTGTGTGTGTGTGTGTGTGTGTACATACACTTAATACACCATAACCACATAAATATACATCAAATAATAATATACGAAATGGAATAGCCCCGAGAAATAATTCTCGTGCACAACAACACCGGTTGTGGGTCCCGTTCGGGACCTCTCGATCCGAAAAATTAAAAAATGACGAAATGACAAACAATGCATTTCTAAAAGTTCTGAACTATAAGAAATATCCCAACCAACTCTCGGGACTCACCTGGCACACCCCACGGCGTCTGACCCGCAAAAATAATAAAAAAAATCCCAGAAAAAGGAAAATAGGAAAAATGAGAAATATTATAGAAAAACAAGGCTTATATAGACTTTTAAAAACTTAGATATGCGTAGAAAATAAGTAAAATTCGTGCATAGGTTTTTTGGAAAGAAATCTATACCAAGTAGGAAATTAAAGAGCGAACAGGAAACTGATTACCCAATATGCAGCAGACTCCTGAACCGGTAGCTACTCTTGGAATCGGTTCAGAGTGTCGAGTGATACACAGGATTCGAAGTAATGTTCTGGAATCAGTAGGAAAACTTGGAACCGGTTCCCAATGGACAGTTTTGAATGGCAGGAATAAATACTTGGAAAATTTTTTGATTTGGAAAATCCGAAAAACATACCATGTATGAAAAATGTCCTAACCTTCAACTCAACTTCCTAAAGTGTTATTCATACATTTTTCTTAGATCCCAATCTATCAAACACGAACAACTCTTCAATTCCGCAACCGATCTTGATCTTGAATTTAAAACTTGAAATTAAATACAATTAGATTGGATTTGTTTTGACACCGAAATTAGCGAGTTACAAAATATATATCTCACAAAATACACTACGGTGGATTCAAAGTAAATCATACCTTGTGAACAAGCTTCCGCTTACTTCAAACATGATTGCAAAAACCGAAAAATATCAGCAATTTTTCCAATGAAAATAAACTACATAATATGTTAAAACTAATACTAATAATTGGGAAAATGAGTACCAATATTGCAGAAGAGAAGAGTAGACAGGTATATTGAACCTAAAGGGATAATATGGAACATATGGTTTGTGTCAATGTAAGTCCAAGCAGAGTAAGTGCAGCGAGAGTAGAAACGCATCTCCATGGAGAGCAGAAATAATCACGTTTTAGTACTGCCTTTGACCTGTGCCACCAATTATTGCAATAGTCATTTAGGCTATCACTTAGATCACTGTAGTAATAGTTACGATCACACAAAGACACTTGCAAGGCGAGCTTATTAAAGAGACTTGCCACTGCAGAGCTATCGCCTAATCTGTTCTCAAAAATTTTATTTTGGACAAGTAAATCCACATCTTTAGCAGAGTCAATAAGGCGATCCATGAAATAAATATAATCAATTATGTAACTATCAAACAAATACTGATATTCCTCCAGCGCCACCAGGTTTAGAAGTAAAGATTCTGTCCCACTCCATATGGTCAAATGGGGGATCTCCAACAATTCCATGCTGCCACGTGTTATGTCAAGCATGCAGTTGCTTGAGCCCTTCTTAAACTTCATTCCTGCCTCCTGAAGCTGTGTTGCAGTGGGTACCGGCACATAGTTGCATGGCAGTGACCTTGGAGATGATGGTAAGTGACATAACCTTAGCAAATTAACAAAATTCTTTACTCCAGCATTTCTTAGAAATGATTCTTCGATGTGGCTGATAACATAAAAACGTTTCAAGTACCTGATGGAAAGCATGATGAAGGAAGTGGTTTTCTGTTTGGGAATGATGGATGATAGGTTGAACAGATCCTCGAGAACAAAGAAGGGAAGCTGATTTTCAATTAAAATCATGTCCTGGATTAACTTATTCGTAAACACTTTCCTATCCAAGTAATCGGTTTGTTTGCTTGAACTGGAATAGCTCCTATAAATGACCTCAACGATGAAACAACTATCCAAAAGAATCATTTCAACAAAATCTTTGCTGCTAAGGTTAATGCTTTCTGTATAACAGCTTCGAACGCTCCCTTCCCAATCCTTTACCTTTCTTATAAAACTCTCCAAACTCGTGCTAGTACGATTAAGGAATGACTGCATGTATCTCACTTTATCCTTTTCCATGGCTTCCAAGTGTTCTTTGCCACGATGAAATGGACCGATGGAAACACTCTGAGGTGTAAAAGCCTTTTCATTTATATCGCGAAGTCTCTTGGGAACTCTAAAGATGCAACAATCATTAGATAGAGGAGGCAATCCATCTATCTTTCCTCTAATGGAATTCAACACTGGGATGCAGGGATCTTCTGAACTATATTCTTCTCCCCCATTCCCATGGCTTGTAATTCTATCGTCCATTCTTGCCATCCCGATACGTGTTTGTGCTACTGCGCGCGTTAGAAGACCAGTGAAGACACATTAGGCGCATTATTAATTGTTGCTTTATATATATATGCTCCTTTTGGTGGTGGATATATGCATGGAGAAAATTAAAGATAAATAAACTTTAAGATCTCTGTTTTTTCTTTCTTACAAACCTTAGTTTAAATCTTTCTTTCTTCCTCTAGCTTGTTGAAACTTTTTTTTATCTTCTACATTAATTTATTTTTCTTTTGGTCCCATCGATTACGATACTATATACAAATCATAATAGTGGCTACAAGTCAGCGGCCATGGCATATTACTAATTATTCTCTAACACATGCATCTTCAAGTGAGGATAGTCACATTTGATATCTTATGCTTATGTTTCTTCATCTATTTGATATTTTTATAAGGTTGTGCTTTCTTGGATGAATTATTCTTCTTCATCTTCAAGTGAGTTCAAGACACAACATTTTAAAAGAAGTTCTTTAATTTCTTTGATGAATTATGGTTTTCCATATATATTTGAAAATCTGTAACTAACATTAATTAGTATATGATGTAAACTTTGATTCGATCTATCTTCAAGATTAGGTTTCATTGTATTGTAGTAATAGAATGGTAAACAATCAACAATAAAATATGAGTAAAATTGATAATGATTAAGAATTGATTAAGAATTGGAACACCGCATATGTTTTATTAGAAACATGTATTAATCGAAATGAAATCAACATATAATTTTCTTCATAATTTTTCCGTTAAAATAGTAAAATATTATCTGACAAATCAATCATATGAAACTATTCAAACATAGATCAAAATGAAATGTGATTTTTAATGGAAATTTGAAAAATAACTGCAGCATGAAAAGAGAGAGACGACCGAAAAGCAATTAAGGTGCAGCAGAGAATATATATAATTATTTTATTTCACTTTGGTCACTATCACACTTCCCGCCAATTATTATTATTATTTTAATTTAATTTTTTTCCATTTTCTGAGGAAAAAATTTATATTCTTCCCAAAATCCAAGGCTAAATTACTCAAAGTCCTCTTAAATTATCCAACTTCCTCGAATGAAAGATAGTGTCTATCAAGGGAGATGAGCTTTTGCAATTGGAGCTTACAAGTAAGTGGTTAAGGGTAAAATTGTAAAAACAGATCAGAAACAAAAGGAAATGGACACCACAAAGTGGCTAACAAAGTGAAAATGGACCAGTCTTCTTTCTCGTTCCCCTGGTTTGTTGCATTTTCCCCTTCTTTCCATCCTTTTGTTTTCCTAATTAATGCATTAGAAGAGCAATGAAGACAACCGCACGTGAGGAGAAAGTATCGATTTTTAGGGGCAGTGCATAGCAGGTCTAAGGCTAGTTTTTCTTCCTCTTATCTAATTTAACTTTAGTTTATTTATATAATTATAATATTTTATTTATCATGTTCACAACATGACATAGTACGACTAAATATTGTCTAGCCTACTGATATTTCCTATGCCTCTCAAAATGAGAGGTGAGGATTCGAGGGTAGTAAGGATAAATGTGAGGCTGAGTTCTTGCCAACGGAAAAAAAAACATTGTTGTCTAATACATCTTCAGGTGAGGAAGTCCATCTAATAAATTATCACTAATTTATGTTTCATATTTGATATTTTCACAAGGTTGCAGAGTTCAAGATGCAGAACATTTTTTAAAAAAAGAACTAAGACAAGGTATAAAATTTGAATCCATATGTCTTCAAGATGAGCCATCAATCATATGGTAGTAATAGGATTAAGAGTTGGAACCCCCCACTCGTTCCATCTTTATAATTATTGTGTTAAAATAGAGATCACAAGTATGAAATCATGCAAACTTAGATTCAAATATAATGTGGTCTTTATGGAAATTAAACAAAGAAACTGACACATAGAGAGAGTGAGAGAACCTGAGCTCGATCCAGAGAAGAAAACGACAGATGAACTCAGCTCTCTTGAGAGACAGAGATAGCCGGAGTGAGGCACCAATAATTAACTGCAACCAACATTCAACAAAAATGAGTGGCCATGCTTTACCAGTTACCATTTATGGTCCATCTAAGCATCATTGACTTGTTACCTTGGTCTCCCACATATATTTCTTACTACTTTTTTTAAACCCCAACTCAAAAGAAAAAGGAAAAAGTGCAGAAAACACACCCAAAGTATACTTTGTGTAACAATTTCATCCCCTAATTAAAAAAGTGTGTAATAAATATCCCTAATCTTTTGAAATTGTGCAAAATTACCCCTCTATCATAAATCTAATATAAATTATTGCTATAATACCCATTTTGTCCTTTTAATTTTCCGAAAATGCCCATTAAGATGTGTCATTTTACAATTTAGCCTTTAATTATATTTTAATATTTATAAACAAATTGTATGCTAAGGTGAAGCCGTTGTTTCCGGTGGCTGTTGGCGACGATGATAACGAAGGTGAAGTAGGTGCCGGAATGTGCAGAGATCGCCGGACCAGTTCTACGCAAATCTGTAGACTATAGTATAGTGGGTTCACCCCTTACTTGCAAGCCAAAACTTATATTCTGTGTTCCAAGGATTTCAGTCTGCAGATTCTACATGTTGTTCATTTAATTTTGAGTTCTTGTCAACCTACACTTGTTGAGCCATAAATAGTCATACATTTCTTTCTTATTTTTAGTTATTTTATTCTGTTCCCCAAGATGTCAAATTTGGTTGTGTGGGTATAAGGAGGACAAAAAAAGGAAGAAGAACAAGAGTATAATGTGGTCTCATCTCAAGTCGCCACTTTGCATCCGCTTCATTCAACTCGGACGAGTCAGCCATCTTCAAATCGACCGATCTCTTCACCGGCACCATTTCATCAACGGCGGACAAAACAAAGGCTACCCCTGTTAACAAGCCAAAGAAGAAGAAGGCCGAAAGGGCGAGGTTGAAACAACCTTAGTTCCGGCGACGACGTAGCAAACTCCGATGAACTGAACTCTGCAATTTTCAGCCAATAACAAATAGCAATGAAATTTCACCTCTGCAACTTCCGGCAAACAAAACCATTCCAAACCAAACCCACAAGCAGGGCGATTCGTTGGGGTGAAAGGGGAGAGAGAGAGAGAGAAGGGGTTGCCAGCCCAACACACAATTCTGTGGAATGGTGTGGGTGGTGGCCAGTGGCAGTGAGGAAGAAGAGAAGTGAGGGCCACCAACGGGCTTCACCTCTGGATACCCCCACGCAGCGGCGCCACCCAATTTCATACCCATGGTCGCCATTCTTTCGTCTGCCATCTCGTCGCCGCCGTCGGCACTGTCGTCCTCATAATTGGAGTCATCTTCTTTATCGTCTGGCTCGTCCTCCGCCCCAACCTCCCTGAGTTCACAGTCGCCTTTGCCACCGTCTCCCCCATCAACGCCACAGCCTCCGAGGTCACCGCCACTTGGGACATCTCTCTTCTGATTTAAAAAAAACCCTAACACATAATTGCAGAAGGGGTGTGCAAGACGTTTACTGTTTATGGTCCTTTTTGGTCTTTTTACAAAATTTTGTATTTTTATATATTTTATAAAATTGTTGACTAAGGGTATTTTAGTCAAGTTTGGTTTTAAATGTGGCAGAGGGACTTGATTGTACCAAATTGAAACTTGAGGGGTGTTTTTTGCACAAAAAGAGTGTGATAAGCACTATATGCATACTTGAGGGTTGTTTTTTACACTTCACCCAAAGAAAAAATACATAGCCCAATCTCTGTCACTAAAGGGGACCACAAAAGTAATCCATCTCTTTTCTTGCTAAACAAGAAGATAACTCATCACCATCGTACAAGGAAGTAAAAATTAAAGAAAATCCAAAATTGTATATAAAAAGGGATTTTTTTTTAAAGCAATTATTTTGAACCTATGTAATTGTAAGTTTGAACCTATGTAATTGCAAGGAATGAACCAATGTACGAATTGAATTATATTCGAATAACTTATTCAGTAGATTAAAACAATATTAATTGTTAAGATTTTACAAGCTTTATATGTCATAGCAACAATAGTCAACTCTGGGTGATAATTACTTGGTATTCTCACTCATTTCATATTATTCTATGGATGAAGATTGTTACCATTGGTTGTTTGCTGGTCTAGATTAATAGCTATGACTTGTACTCTCAGTAGAGTAATGTGTTTTCACTTCTAATTTTCTTATTTTCTTGAGAGTTGAGACAAAATATATTTGTAATCTTATCTAAAATAATCATTTTTAGGTTATATAAATCCAAACTAAAACAGAGTACCTTCTATAAGGTTTTGAAAAAAAAGGAGTGTTACGTATTTTGGGTTATAAGATGATTCTACTATATTCCTTATTATTTCAGTTACATCCTTTCTTTGACGAATATTGGTTGATTTTCGTGTCCAGAAGCTCGCTAAGTCTGTCAGTTTTGAAGTTCTGACCATTTCTCTGTAATCACTTATAAATTCAAAGATCAGTCAATAGTCCGTATAAATGCGAAGTGAGACTAAGCATATTTATGCTTTCGTGAAATAAACTATTCTTAACCAAGCGAATTAACAAACTTTTATGATTGGCAAGCCCTCTGGATCAAACTTATTATGATTATATTTGTCATGATGATGCAATTTATGTCTGGAGGACTGTTTTTTCTACAAAGGTTAAATGTGATTTCTTTCTTAATAAAATCAGGACCTTTCGCTATGAAGGGAGGGTAGGGAAACAAAAAGGAAAAGAAAAACCCTTGGTGACAAATTTGTGATGTCCATCACTTTTTCGATTTTTCGAGCATTTTTCATTTTCAGCATAAGTGTTTATTTCATTACCTAAGATTGCGTGCCATGTCTGGGATTGCATGTCACGAATGTTTTATAGTAATTTGGAGTGTTTCATGGAGTTTAGGAAGCATGGATATGCTAGTTGAACCATTTGGACAGTCTATGGATTTTTGGGCCGAGCGACTTGTGTGGGTCCCACGCCATGAATTTTTGGGTTTTGGAGTTATTTTCTTAATTAAAAAATAATTATCTTGGATGTCATTTATATAATTCATGAGAGTGGAATGGTCATTTGATAATGTGATAGCATGGTTGTGGTTTAATGAAGAGGTGGGGGCGTTTTGGTCATTTCCTTGGTCCACTTTTTGACCCTTTGTGAGTTTGACACTTAAGCAGGCACTTGGCAAGTTTCTAGCCACAATCTATATGACTCCTCACGTAGAAGAGAGCTTTAGCTGATGGGTTTCTCATGTTAATTCCATTTTCTTCTTCCTTTAACCAATTTCGTCCTCCATTAGAGGGGTTTTTGAAGCACCATTTAGAGAGACTTGTAGTGAGAGTTTGATGTTGAGCTGTGAATGAAAAATGACCTAGAGGGAATGAGGTTTCCATTGATATATTATTTGTAGCCATTCCTTTATCCATGGGTTTCAGAAAGTGCCTTGAAAAGAGGAGGATCTTAGTTGTGTTTCAATGGAAAGTTCTTCATCTTCATCATCTTGTTGGTGGGTTTGATCATCTCTTGGGTAGCTTTGGAATGGTTTTGCCAAGGGTTGAACTCCCTTGAGGTAAGATTGTCTAACCCTCAATTCCTTTGCCTTTAGTAAGTTAATCTCTTTCAATTTAAGTTGTAAAGTGTATAAAAATGAAATTGAAGCATACTGAAACTGTTTGGTTGAAATTACATGCTACTATTTTGCTTAAATTCCTGTAAATTCGTAATTTATCATTTAGAGATGATTTGATATTATGATAATGTAGTTAATTAGCTTTTATTGAGAATTGGTTTCACATAAATTGGTTGAGAAATTAATTTATTATGAATTTTTGAAGTTAGAATGCTCTTGCTGGAAATTGTAGGTTGGGGCAGATTCTGTCCGAATCTTTCTCATCAAGCCTGCTTTAAATGGTAAGGTATTTTGGTGAAGTAAAATTTTATCTTGAAAATATAGTCTTTGAACTTTCAGTGGCCTTTGGATTCACTCAATTTGGATGAGAATTGAATTTTTTATGATTTTTCAAATATGGAAGCTACAAGCTAGAAATTAGTTTCTAGGCAGATTTTGTTTCGAAATTTTGGGTTAAAATTGTTCCAATTGGGAAGGGATTTTATTAAACTAAATTGACACTTTTAAAGTACATTGTTTAAGCTTTCATTAGGCTTTGGAATCACTCAATTTGACTTGGAATTGAAATTGTTATGAATTTTCAAAGATGGAGGTAACAAGTTGCGTATGAATTGTTAACAACTAGTTGTTTTAACCTTCACACCCTTTGTTTCCTTGTGAATTAAATCTTTTAAATTGAACCATTATATGACTTGAATTTGGATTTCTTTACAAGCATGTTGTGTAATAAAAATCTGAAATTTTGTAACTTAGACAGAAATGATGTGTTATGTGTTTTAAATATAGAATTGGAGCTCTTAAAATGTTGTTGGTGCTTATGTGCCTAAAACTGAAATTCTAGTAATCACAATGGTTGTATTGTTATTGTTTGACAAGCTGGAAATTATATATTTAGTTCACTTCAATTATGGGCTGTTTTGTTATAAGTTTGGTGTTGTATTGGTGTTCAAAAACTGAATGATACATTGTCCCTGAAACATGCTGTCAAAGTGTGCCCATAGAATTTCTATATGTTTTCTATGTCTAATAACTTCTATGTTGTATATATTAGATGACAACATGCTTGAGTTGATTTCTTGAAGGCTGTGATAGTATGCCATTGTGAAGCTTACTGCCATGATAAATTTGTTACCAAAGTATGTTTATAGAATTGGATTTTGATGTGAGTAATGATGTGGTATTATAATATTATGAAGCATGTGCATTCATGTATAGCATTGGGCAAAAAAAAATGGGGAAATAAATGTTTTGAAACGAAAAAGAGGTGTTGGGAAAAAAATTTGAGAAAAGAATTTTGTGAAAACCCGGACGCCAAGGGGGTACCGAGGGTCCGTGGCGTTAATGTAGCCTAGAGGGAATTAGGGATATCGCCTTAGCGCGGTTGAGCGATCTGGGCCCCAAATGATGCTGCGGGGGTACCAAGGGTCAGCGACAGTAGCCAATCCTTCTCTCATCGCTAAGGGGTTACCGAAGGGGGTTACATTAACGGTTTGAAAAGTGACGGTTGGTTTTGGAAAAATGGGGAGTGACATCATAAGACATTGCACCCATTGCATGGCATATCCATTCATGATTTGGTTTATAAATGTGATATTATGGTTTTTTTTTTTCTCCCGGCATAGCATAGGACCAGCTAAGATATTGATTGGAAAGAATGTGGTAATTATGAAGTAATAGAGATGAATATTCTCAGTTTGTGTTTATGATTAGACATGAGTGGTTATCCTATTGTCTAGGTACAGTAAATCATTAATACTAAAGGGTTCCTTAGGTATTAATAGAGGGGTAGTCTTTTTACGGTACATGGGCATACCTTTAGACTGATGGTTGTGATAATAAGAAATGTGATTTTTTGTATAGAAAGTTGTAATAAGGGAAATAGTTTAGACTCTGTGTATATGGTATTTCATATTCTTCTGTGTTGACTGTTTTGTGAGACAGCATGATGATGTGATGATTATTTTTCTCCTGATTTGCATGACTCCCTTTCTGATTCCTATTCTTTGTTTGGATTCATGGGGGGTATTAAAGAGTGGTGGTTAGGCATTTCCTATTGAGCTGTGGTTGCTCATTCCTATCATATATACATTTTTTTCAGGTTATGGACAAGAGGTCGTATAGGGAATTCCTCCACAGCCATGGATGGACGTTGGGTTCTATTTGGTTATATATCTTTGTATAAATGGGAAATGCATATTTTGAGATCAACATGTATATTTGTAAATATTTTTCCAAAACAAATCGTGTTAAAATATTGTAATTAAAGGGTTATAGGATTTTAATTATGAAACCTACTTTTATATTTTCAGATAATTTGTGGACAGGGAAATGGACTTTGTGTGTGCATGTTAGGACATGATACATTATTCAAAATGACTTTTGAAATAAGGAGTTTTCTTATTATCAGGCTTGAGTATTAAAGTTTTATCTAAAATTTTTGGACAGTGTTCCAAGGCTCGGTCATACGTTTCTGAACATGAGTATTTCTTTGTTCTGTTTTTATGTTCACAACTTGAATTACGGTACAGGATCGTGACAAAATTATTGACAAAATGACGGTAGAAAACACCACTTTCTCAACAAGAGGTAAGCAATATTTTACTTTTCCTATCAAAATATCTCTCGGTAAAATATCATTTTCTTAATACTTCAAGTGCATAATTCTCATCCACCAAGACTATTTGCTGACATCTTTGTCACCAAACTACATTAATTTGAAAAGGGTAAATTAGTTTGACCCGAAATTTGAACTAATTACAAATAAACTTAAAGTTTGACAATTTTTTACAACTTATCCCAATAAGGTTTACCAATTTTTACAAAAACCTCTTTTATTCAAAATTCAATCATTTTTGTCAAAAAAGAAAAAAAATAAAAAATTAATTAAAGTAACTAAAATACCCATCAATTAAGTGTAAAAATCCTTATCACCCTTGTAATTCTATGAAATAACCAAAAAAAAATGCACGTGGACCAAACTACCCCTTAGGTTTGTTCACAATACCAAGTTAATTCAAAGGGCCACCACCACTCCACGGCAGCCGCCACTACCTCTCTTCTTTCTCTTTCCCTTTCCCTTTCCCTTTCTCCATTCTCTCTTCTCTCGACCTCCTACTGCCCCACCTTGATCCATGGAAACCCCTCAACAAACCCCCAATCTAAAACCCAAATCTCCAAACCAATCCCAAATCACTTGCAATTCCTTTGGTCATCGCAAATCACTTAGAATTCTCTCAATTTTAAAGGTTGAGCCCCATAAATTACATATGTCATACACATGTCGGTCAAATCAAACTAATCGGCAAATTAGGGTTCGGGAGGAGCGAGAAGTGCGGGGCAGCAGGAAGGGGAACCGGAGTCGCCACCGGGCTGAACGACAGCGGTCCAACGGAGGCATGGCAGGGAGCTGGGGCGGCGCATATGGCTTGACCGAAGGTGACTGCGGCACATAGTGCGGACCAGGCAAAGCATAGTGGGGAATCATCTGGGACGAGAAGTGGTTGCCAAAGCCAGACTGGTACTCTAAATCCGTTGGGAAATCGAGATAGTTGGTAGTCTTGTTGTCCGTAATTAGCCTTCAAGTGCTCTGATCGGGACAATTGTTCTCTATAATCAGTCTTCAAATGCTCTGATCGGGACAATTGTTCTCTATAATCTGTCTTCAAATGCTCTGATCATAATACACCAACAACACCATATTGCGGTGTGGCGGTGATGGGGGTGGTGTTTGTTGATGGTGGTGGGAAGATGTGGTGTGGGTCATGCTTTAGTGGAGAGGAAAGAGAGGAGAAATAAAATAATAAAACAAAGTCAGTGATGGCATTCGGTTATATACACGTGTTTATATATATATATTTAATTACTTGTAGGTGTGGCATGGTGGAGTTGGTGGGGCGGTAATGGCAGTGGAAGAGTTGGTGTGGGTCTGGCTTTGGTGGATAGGAGAGGGAGGAGAAAAAAAAAAACAGAAAACATAAAGGTCGCATTGGGTTATATATATATATGTGTATATTGGGTAAATAGTTAGTGAGCAAAAAGGTCATTTACTATTTTAAATATTTTGATCATTTTAATAATATAATAATGAGTAGATAAGTAAATTTATCATAAAATCTAACATTGGAGTTCTTTGAAAAAAAAAATGACAAATCTCGATTTATTTACAATTAGTTCAAACGTCAAGGTAGGTAATTGTAGTTTACCCATTTGAAAATTAGTCTGTTGCAAAACGTTATTTGTTTGGAAATCAAGTAGAATAAATTTTCATTGTGCTCAGATGATGTGAAATAACATTAATGTTTCTAACAGAAGTATTAGATTGTGCAGAACTTGGAGCTCTGAGTTTTCCACTCAACTGGAACATCATTCTTGAAAAAAGAAAAATACAAGCGTTGCTCTCAAGACTTAAAAGATAAATTTAGATAATGCCACCAATGAAAGACAACATGGATCAATTTTGAAAATAAACCACATAATATGTTAAAACTAGTAATTAAGAAAATCAGTCCAATGCAGAATGGAAGTAGACACATACTGATGAACCTAAAGGGAGACTATAGAACATATGGTTTGTATAAGAGTAAGTCCAAGCAGGATCACCGCGGCAATGGTTGAAGCAGTTTTCCATGGAGTGCTGAAATAATCACTTGTTAATGTTGCCCTCCACTTGTGCTTCGGATCCCTACAATATTCATTCAATTTTTCACTTATACCATAATACAAATAGTTGGGAGTCCACAATATCATTTCCTTGGTGAGATTATTAAAGAGAGTTGCCACGGCAGAACAATCGCTCAAGTAGCTATCCAAAATTCCATTTTGGATAAGTAATTCGGCATCTTTAGCAGTGTCAATAAGGCCATCCATGAATTGAATATAATCAATTATGTAGCTGTTATACCGATAATGAAATTGCTCAAGTGCCATGAGGTTTCTAAACAAAGATTCTGTGGAGTTATTTACAGTAAATTTGGGGATTTCCAACACTCCCCTAGCATGTCTTATGTCAAGCTTGAGATTACTACTTGAGCGCCTGAATTTCATTCCTGCCCCTTGAAGCTCTGTTGCAGTTGGTACCTGCACATATTTCACTTTATATGCTTCCGGCCTTAGAGATGATGGTAAGTAACATAACCTCAGCAAATCAACAAAATGCTTTACTCCAGAACTTGAAATTGACTCATTCATGTCACTGAGAATAATATGAGAAACTTTGAAGTAGTTGATGGAAAGATGGAGGAAGGAAGAGGATCCTCGGAAGACTAAATCGAAGAGACCCTCAAGAATAAAGAAGGGAAGTTGATTTTCAATTAAGATCGTGTCTCGTTTTACATTACTCATCGAAAGTTTCCTATTTAAGTAACTGGTATTTTCGTCGATACAGAAATTGAATCTCCAAATGACCTCAATGATGAAACTGCTATCCAAAAGAACCATTTTAACAAATTCATCACTGCTAAGCTTAATGCTTTCTGCATAATAACTTCGAGCTCTTTCTTCCCATTCCTTTGCCACCCTTATACAACTCTTCAAAGTCATGCGATGATCAGCACGATTAAGGAATGACTGAAAATACCTGGGTTTAAACTCTTCCATGGCTTGTAAGTGTTCTTTACCGCGATGAAATGGACCGATGGAAACCACCCCAGGTGTGTAAGCATTTTCATTTATTTCACGCATTCTCTTGGGTACTCTATAGATACAACAATCATTCGACAGAGGGGGCAGGCCATCTATCATTTCTCTCATGGAATCAAACAGTGGGATGTCAGAATCTTCTTGAATATCAATTGAAACATAGTCTTCTCTCTCATTCATTCCATGGCTTCTTGTATTATTGTGCCCTCTTTCCATCGATGTGATTTCCTAGTGCATTAATAGAAAAAAACGCAATTAAGACACATTAGGCACAAAATATACACTATATATATATATATATATATGTATATATATGATCTGGTAAATGACTTTACTACCGAGCAATTATATTATACATATAGTAGCATTTCTCCAACTCAAATCTTGTTCTTAAGAATTTTTATTTTTATTTTTTTAATTCTTTTGTGTGTGTTAATGTACTTATATATTCGTATTGCCAGCTTAATATATATAAGCATAATGACTACAGTACACATCACCATGCTACAACTTGACTAGGTTGCAGTCTTGCGGAGCTCAAGATGCAGAACATTCTTTGAAAACAAAAAGGGTTGTGCATGAATAATGGTTTCTGTACGTAGTTGAAAATCTGCAACTTAAACTAATACAAAAATTTAACTTTGATTCCATGCCTTTATTGTACAGAATGTTAAAGCAGCCAATAATTAAGAATTGGAAATATCTAATTCCAGATATTAAATCACAAATTATATTTGTTATGTTTAATAACATTTTCCTAATGGAATATGTATTACTAGAATGAAATCGATATTAAATGTTATGTACGAAAAAAGAAAAAAAAATCAACACTCAATTTTCAATATAATTATTCTGTTTAACTAGCAGAATATTCCTTCACAAATCAACAGTATGAAACTATGTTAACTTGGATCAAATTGTGATGCGATAAATATGAAGAGCGAGAGAGCTAGAGAGAGAGAGAAAGAGATGGAACTTGTTCTCGGACAACAAAGCAAGGTAACGGAAAAAGGATGAGAAGAAAACGCCAGAAGAACTCAGCTCTCTTGAAAGACACCAATAATTAACATGCCAGAAAAATGAGTGGCCTTGGTGAAGCCCTCATGGTACATATATATGGTACCAAAAAGAAAAAAATAAAAATAATTCTTTTGTGAGACACCAAGAAATTGACTGTCTACCTAACCATCATTGACTTGCAACATTGGTCTCCCACTTAAAAATATTTAGGTAAAGCGTGAAGAAAATCACTGGAATTGTTATTTTTTTTGCAAGTAATTTTCTAAAATAAAAATTGTCCCCTGAATTATTAATTTGTTATAATTAAATATAAATTCATCACAAAATATTATTTTACCCTTTCTTATTAAAATTTTAATTTGCTATTCAATTATTTTTATTATCTTTTCTCCTATCTAAATATTAATTATACTATTTATCTAATTTTATTATTAGTATCAATTTATCATAAAAATGAAAAAAAAAAAAAGATAAATAGATTTGTAACTACCATTTTTAAAAATGAATAACTTATTATTAAAATTTTATTATTTATAATCAAACTTATTATGACTAGTTTGAACTTATTACCGTAGAAAAATATTTTCTTTTTCATACAATATATATTGATGAAAAATTAATAAATTACTTACATAAAAAATACCATATTTTTCATGAAATATATTCATAAAAAATTAAAATATTTATTAAAAATTTTCTACTAGAGATTTTTATCTAAGCAATTAATTTCAAAAATTAAATGTGAATTTATGCAAATTTGATGGAGAATATGTCATCAAATTAATATGATTTTTTTTCATAAATTATTTAAATAAGAAAATTTATTTATAGTACAACATAACATTTAGAATTGAACATTTTTGACATAAAATGAAACTTAATGGACCCTAATCAATTGAGTATTCTTTTAGTTTAAAAGCTTTGTATGGTTTAATTAACAAGGTATTACGAGTTCACATTAAATTTTTTTGATGGATATCTTGAAAAAGTAAAAGAATATGCTTGATGCCTAGCATAATTACGCAAGAAGAAATATATATATTAAGCAAATGCTAAACAATAAAAAAAATAAAAAATTGTTAAAATAATAAAAGGTTACCAAATCCTCAATGCTTGAGAAATTTTGTGTACTTCACCAAGTCTCAGGTTCACTTCATTATTATAACCACACTGATTTCACTTTCCAAGGATTTCTCAGGATGCTGTCCAGGCCGCCCATATCCTCTGTGTATTAATTACAATCGTACATATAATGGTAAAAAGGGCCTCTTTGTTCTTAAACCTTATTCCAAGAAATGTATATTTGTATTTATTAAATAAAGTGAGTGAAGTGCCTTTATTCTTAAACCTTATTCTAAGAAATGTATATTTGTTCTGCAATCAATGTAGTGACCGAAGCTAAGTCTCCTATATCTCAGTACCTCCAAGACTTTTAGTTATTGAATGAGGTAGTGGGACTCACCTAATGAATGATTCACTTGTTGGGATGCATACCCTATAGAAGTTGAGTAAAAAGGGCGTCTTTGTTCTTAAACCTTATTCCAAGAAATGTATATTTCTATTTATTAAATAAAGTGAGTGAAGTACCTTTATTCTTAAACCTTATTTTGAGAAATGTATAGTTCTTCAATAAATGTAGTGATGGAAGGTGAAAGTCTACTTATATATCCAAGACTCCTGGTTATTGAATGAGGTAGTGGGATTCACCTAATGAGTAATCTAACGACAAGGATGCGTGCATATGATACCCTGAAATATTATAGACTATTTTATTATCGAGCCTCCAGATAGTTTATGACATGAGGGAATCAGAAGCTCAGATTCACTTTAAGTATATTTCCAATATTTTTCTAACAAATAGCAGCAAAATACTATTTTCTTAGAAAGGGTATGGACAATGGGTAAATTACCTAGCCAAATTAGTAAATTCGCCAATAAGACACAAATTATTTACGAAATTTTGAAAAATATTTTTGTTTGTCATTTAAGTTTGAAAAATATGGTAAAATAAGTTTATTATTATTATTATTTTTTTTCCCTTGACTAGTATATAACACGTTTATTCATTTTAATGCTTTTGGGTCACTGTTTAATTCGTATTTTTATATTTTCTGAATCACGCATTTATTTTATTTTTAATATTTTTGGGTTACCATTTAATTCGTGTTTTTATATTTTCGAATAACCTAATTATTTTTTCTTTCTAATAATGTATAGAAGGAATATGTTGGCACATGCAATGTTGGATAATAAGGATAAACACAATGATGATGGAAAATTCAAGACATAAGAAGCACACGATTTCGTGTCAATTAATTATTTGGACAAACATTAGGGACATTTTTTAATTTTTTTTTTTTTAATATGTTTATCATGAAGAATGGGAGGATTATTCCTTAGAGCCAATGAATGACAGTTCTAGTGATATTGTTACCAATGATAAAGATTTTTCTTGGTTAAATTGCCGGCTCTAAATTTAGAATATTTTCTTTTTTAGGTAAAGATGGTCAATTATTTGAATTATATATATATATATATATATATATATATATATATATATATATATATTTTTTTTTTTTTAATTTGTGATGTTGATCACTGACCTAAGGTTATTGATTAATTATATTTTGATAGTTTATTTCTTCTATGGTTATTGTGACATTATCAATTGGAATATATTTATTTTATAATTTATTACATATTCTTTATTGCCTTTACAAAGATATGATATATAAAAAAATGATAAGATGTGAATAATCGAATTTTTTGTCCCGAATATTTAGCCCATCCAAAGTATTATACATGTACAAATCCATATTACTAGTATTTTTACGTTTTCATATTTTTTTTCAGAAAAAATATCAAATTATTACGTTTTTGTATCCATCTTTTTTCGTACCTTATTTGTACTAACTATATTACCTAACTAGCTACTTGTATTAAAAAATGTTTGCAGCACAAAAATTTGAATATTATTCTATGGATGAAGATTAATTGTTACCATTGGTTGTTTGTTGGTCTAAATTAATAGCTATAACTTGTACTCTCAGTAGAGTAATATGTTTTCACTTCTAAATTTGCCATGCCAGATTGTTGTTTCTTACTTTGTTGAGTGTTGAGACAAAATATTTTGTAATCTTATCTAAAATAATTCTTTATTGGTTTTATTAATCCAAATTAAAACATAGTACCCTTGTAAGTTTTGAAAAAAAAAGGAATATTATGTATTTTGGGTTATAAGATGATCCTACTGTATCATCCTTTCTTTGATGATTGGTTGATTTTCGTGCAGAACCTCACTAAGTCGTTCAGTTTAGAAGGTTTTAACCATTTCTCTGTACCCACTTATAAATTCAAACATCACTCAATAATCAATATAAATGCGAAGTGAGACTAAGCCTATTTATGCTTTCATGAAATAAACGAAGTAACAAACTTTTATGATTGATAAGCTCTCTGGATCAAACTTATTGTGAGTATATTTGTCATCATGATGCATTTGATGTCTTAAGGACTGTTTATCTACAAAAGTCGAATGTGTTTTCTTTCTTAATTAAATCAAGACCTTTCGCTAAGAAGAGAGGATTGGTTTAGTACCCCAATATTTTAAAGGATTTATTAATTAAAATTAATTATTTTTATTTTATTTTTAAATGATTTGTTTGATTTAATTTGAATTAATTATTTTTATTTTATTTTTAAATGATTTGTTTTATTTAATTGAGTGTTTAGATTAATTGTCTTATTTTAATTAGATTATATTTCATGATTATATTTGTTGAATTAATATGGTATTTTGTTTTGTGGAATGCTATTATTGAATTGGTTATTTGATTTGTGTGTATTTATACTTGTGCGAATTGTTTGTTAATTATTTTTAATTATTAGTTTTAATTTAATTATTTTAATTGTTAATTTTAATTGGATTGAGCTTAAGAGGAGTGTGATCAATGAATGTGGTCTCAGGCTTGAAGGAAGCCTTGTTAGGTTAATTAATAAGGGCCCATGGTTATAAAGATATTTAAATAGTTATCTTTGCATAATTATATATATATATATATATATATATATATATATATATATATATATATTTATTGATATATGTATATATGTTTATGATTTAATTAGTTAAGGATTTACATGGAAGGAAATATACAAATATATATTATATAATATATGTGTGTATATATATTATTTAATAATTATTATTTCTTTTATTTGGTAGTCCTAGTAGGAATAGGATTTGATCAAATTTTAATGTGTATAAATATACACATAAAGTTTAAGGTTAAAAAGTTTTACAAGTTAGAAAAATAAGAGAGACAAAGAGAGAAGAAGAAGATAAGGCTGATAAAGAGGACGCCGAAACGGAGAAAGAAGACGCTGAAATTGAAAGAAACAATCGAGGCTTGAATCGTCTGTTTCGTTTCGAAACCTTCTGGCAAGTTCTTCTCTAACTTTCCTTTTAGAACTCATAAGGATTTCACTTTGAGTATCAATGTTTAGATTAATTTTATTTGATTAAATCAGGATTAAATCGGAATATTAAAAACATGATTTATTATTATTTTTATTTTTGAAATTGTTGAATTTTAATTATATATATAAGTTGTATATATTTAAAATCAACTATATACTTGATCTATGACCCAAAAGGGTTATTTAGGGTTTATTGAATTTCTGGAATTTTTTTGCAATTTTCTAGAATTTTCTGGTATTTTATTTTATATTTTTAGGAATTTATTATATTTTATTTTTCTTTAATTGTTAGAAAATTATATATAAATATATACTACTCCCTCCGTCCCAATATAAGTGTCCTCATTGGGAACTGTGACTCAAATGTGAGTCACAGTTCCCAATGAGGACACTTATATTGGGACGGAGGGAGTATTTATATATATATATATATATATATATATATATACGCATTAGACAAGGTGATGAATAATCCAGTGTGGTGCGAGTATAGTATATAGGTATGCATGACTAAGTTATGACCGTTTAAATTTCAAGTGTTGAAACAGGCCAACAGGGATTTCTCACGTGCGCCCACGTGCTTACCATGCACTTGCACGTGCTGGATTCCAGTTCTGTGTGTTCTGGCGCATTCTGATTGGCTGGAGTCTTTCAGCTCCTATGAGCTCGCTCATACCAGATTATAGCATTGATCTCACATGAATGCATCTACACCAAATTAGCTCACTTGAGTTCACGTGTATACACCCACACTAGATCAACTGCCCATTAATCAAGACCCATTAGAGACCCAGATTCCATGCGTACCGTAATAGCATGCGCCGCATCACACCGGATCGTTTTCAGTCATCATCTCAATGCACCAGCGGCCTAGATCTATATCTTAAATCGAAATTGGGTCATTCTTGAGCTCAAATTTAAGGATTTTTTTGTCTTTTTTCCAATGGTACCAATTTCATTATCATATTCTCATCCTATTAGGAGATATTTATGTTTTAGTAAGACAATATCAGAAAATTGTTTAAACCGAAATGGAGTATTTATGAGAAACCATTTATGACAATATTTAGTAGTATTTAATTTGCATAAATATAATTAAATTAATATATTGATGATGGAAGGCGGTACATATATTTACATATTTATTTATATATGTGTATATATGGTTTAATTAATTTATGAGTTATATGGATGGACGTGTATATATATATATGTATAATTATTGATAAATATGTATATATGGTTTTAAATAATCAAGGATTATTAAGGAATGTGTTATACACATATATATATTATATAATATATGTATATATGTATATATTATTCAAGATGATTAATATTATTTTTCTTATTTTGATATATCTTGATAGTTAGGCTCGTTGTTAAATTAACAATATGCGTATAATATGTAGGGAATGCCTATGTATGATTTGTTTTGTTATTATATTAATTTTAAGGTTTAGTACATGGTTGAATTTTAGGCATGAATGAGTTGACAAAGGCTTAAATATATTGCCTAGGTATTTGTATGAATAAAATGCATACATAGGAAGCATGGATGAGTTGCTATTTTAAAAGTATAAATATATATATATATATATATTTGTGGAGGTATGGTTGAATTGCCAATGTATAAATAAATATACTTGTGGAGGCATCGTTGAATTGCCAATGTAAAAATAAATATACTTAAGGAGACATAGTTGAGTTGCCAATATATAAATAAATATATTT